CCAATGCTCCCCCAAAAATGGACCTCCTCATCCTGGAAAAGACCCATTTGAGTCTCTTCGTAACCGTGATCGTTGCCATCACCATTTCAAAACTCAGCGGCCGTTGCCTCACCATCAATCATCGCCTCACCATCGGTCGTCGCCATCGCCATCGTCGCTGTGATAGTCGCCTCACTGACCTCGCCAAGACATTCGGCGACTGCTTTCTTTTCCGCATGGGGCAGCGCAACCTAGTCGTCATCTCTTCGCCAGAGCTTACCAATGAGGTGCTCCACACCCAGGGAGTCGAATTTGGGTCGAGGGAGGCGTGGCAGTATCGCCTGGCGTCATGTAAGCCGGGCAAGAGCTCAACACATTCTGAGCCAGCCTAGAAACTAGCTTGGGCTGGGTGCCAGCCTATCTTTTCGGCTAGAATGGATTGGTTGGGTGCCGACCTAAAGGTTCCCCGGTGGAACTGCTCTAACGGAACGCATTCTGTCATCTAATTCTGTTACAAATAAACTTCATTTTATTTACAAGTATCATTGATCCACCAGACAAAAATTAATGTGTTTGTTGTTCAAATTTTGAGATGAAAAGCACAGGAAGAAGCAACACTAAATCGGAGGAATCCAAAACGATGCCCTTCAGTTCGGACGTCAATGCGGTAAGAACGACCCTCTTGAATCAACTTTGGAATCGGCAAAGTTAACTCAGGAGCAGATAAATAGGAAAAATCTTGGGGTCCACTTATGGAAGTGCATTTCCACTGAATATGGATTCCATTCTCGATTCTAGAGGCCTGCTGGACCAATTCCTTCTTCAACGTTGGGTTTGGAAGTTATGAATGGAAGATTGGATGATTTTGGCTTTGAGGATTACCTAAATGGCCCCCACGGGAATCTGAAACCTTTCGGCCTATAGACACATCATGCAATGGAAGTTCGCCTTGGGCTTTCAGAGGGTCCAGTCTCCTTAAGCTTTATGTGATCATCATAGACTTCCTTCCCTAAATAAGAGGATTAGTAACCTTGTCAATGTTATTCCTAAAATGTGATTGTTTGTTCGCCTTATGGTATTGCCTTTCTTCCAACCAAAGACAGTTATTCTATTTGGCACTTCAAAAAAAAAAATGTACTATTGGTCGTCACTGATTGGTACTCCGAGCCCCGAGTTGATATTCTACCTTCCTTACCATGCATGCATAATTATATATGTGCCAATCAATTATTAATACACACTCGTTCTCTATTTGTTAATACTATCGAGATCAATTTTTTTTTCAAATTTTGTAAATCAAATAATTGAATTATGATTTAAGCATTAATTAATGTACTTATCATTTGATTTGTAAATTTGGTTTAAAATTTGGTTTTCTTTAGCATTATCCCCTATTAATTAGAAGGGCACGCATGTATGCATGAACTCCAATTTATAAAAAATAGTTATTATTCAGTTTCATAAATAGTCAATCAATTTAATAATAGTGTAGTACCTATGTCAGTTTCATAAATAGTCAATCAGTTTAATAAATAGTGTAGTACCCATGTCAGTTTCATAAAGAGTCAGTCAGTTTAATAAATAGTGTAGTACCTGTGTTAGTTTCATAAATAGTAATTTAATAAATAGTGTAATACATATGTCAGTTTCATAATAGTCAATCAGTTTAATAAATAGTGTGGTACTTGTGTTAGTTTCATAAATAGTAGTTTAATAAAGAGTGTAGTACATGTGTCAGTTTCATAAATAGTCAGTCAGTTTAATAATAGTGTAGTACCTCTGTCAGTTTCATAAATAGTGAGTTTAACAAAATAGTGTAGTACATGTGTCAGTTTCATAAATAATCAGTCAGTTTAATAAATAGTGTAGTACCTGTGTCAGTTTCATAAATAGTCAGTCAGTTTAATAATAGTGTGGTATTTGTGTTAGTTTCATAAATAGTGAGTTTAATAAATAGTATGCCTAGGGATGGGCAAAATACCCATGTGTTTGGGTAACCGTGGTTACCTGCCCATTTAAAGTTCACGGTTACGGTTATGGGTATCCGTTTAGATGAACAAACGGTTATGGGTATAACCGTTTATCCGTGAAATTTAAATGGGTGGTTATGGGTATTACCCGCGGTTATAACAGGTATCCATTGGTTATGGGTATTACCCGTGGTTATAACGGGTATCCATTTACCCATTTAATTTAATATATGTAAAATTTATAATATTTTTAACGGTTATAACGCGTTTTTGTATTTGTTGCTAAACTTTTCGTATACAAAAAGTTTGAAGCACAAGAAGCCAACAAGAAGAAAGATCAAAGAGCTTCCTTGAAGCTTATGATCCATCTTGCGGTTAACAGAAAGTACTGGTATTAGTGTAGAAAAATGTTTGTTTTTAGAAGCTTTACTTTGTAATCATATGGATTATAATTAAAGACTTGCTTGGGTGTAGTAGAAAAATATCGTTCGTAAACTATTATTTCAATTATTAGAATTGTATGATGACCTAAATGATTAAAATAGAGAAATGTATGCTAAAATGTACCTATAACGGTGTTTAATTGTCAGAAAATGAAATTTTTTTTTTTTGTAATTTTCAAGTTGTTAAAAAAAACATGTAGATAGGTGAAAAAAGGGATTAAAAAAATGATAAACGGGTTCACAACAGGTAAACGGGTAAATGATTATGGTTAAATGGGTAAACGGTTATGGATAAATGGGTACACAGTTATGTGTATGGTTAACCATTTATAAACGGTTATGGGTAAATAACCGCGGTTACCCACCCGCTATAACCATTGCTCATCCCTAATAGTACCCGTGTTAGTTTCATAAATAGTCAGTTTAAGAAATAGTCAGTGTTCAGTTTAACAAATAGTGATAGTGCCCGTGTTTAGTTTTCAAAAATAGTGTATTCAATTTAAGTAATAGTGTAGTATTCATATTTAATTTCAGAAATAGTCTATTTAAGAAATAGTGTAATATCTTGTTTAGTTTCAGAAATAATACCCGTGTTCAGTTTCAGACATAACCATTTAAAAAAAAATAGCGAGTGGAGAAATAAGATTTCAATTATTTTGGTTCAGTTCTAGAAATAGTGTGTATTATTTTGCTATAGTTCTAGAAATAGTGTGGGTTATATTACAATAGTTCCAAAATAGTGTGTTATTTTGTCCAGAAAACAATATCAATTTCGGATGCTCAAGCTCTAATTTGTACACATAATTCAACACTTGTGAAAAGAAGAAACCAGTTTTTAGAAGACATTTCGACTTGTTACATAATTGAATGTTGTCTATACGACAAAACCTAAGAACCCCAAGGAGCTGAGAACGGCCACAAGCACAAGGTTAAAGGCTTGCTTGTTGCTTGTATAGCTTCACTTCTCATGGAGGTCCAATGTACCCCACAAGAATTGTTCGTCATGCGGCATGGGATGCATTAGATTTTCTTTTCCCGTTGGCGGATACCCTCAGCATCTTATAAGCCTGTTGATTGCTATATCCATTATGGTCATTCCCCTTCCTCTTCAAGCATGTGCTTCTCCTCCACTTCAACATGTATTGTCAGATCAAATTTCATCAAAGTGCCAATCAAGATACACTAATTCACACAAATTTTAGTACCAACTTTTTCATCATTTGATTCATTTCTCATCAGCCAAGTAGAAAAATAAAAAACAAACAAATTTGATTCAGTTTAGTTTACTAGTGCTAAATCGTTAAAGCACTAACCGCTAGAGGACCATTCAAAGATGAATGGAAGAGATGGAAAATATACAGAACCAAAGTGTCTAAAGCATATGTTGAAATCAAAACATGATGGCACCAAGAATTCGGCTCCCATAATAGCATTTTGCCTTAATTAGTATGCTACTGCATTTGAAAAGATGGTCTTTACCAATGAGGCGAACAATTTATATGTAGAATTCAACTTCACCCAAATAAATTTTCATGCCCAATTCATAAACTACATATACAAATATATCAGAAGCTGGTTGTTTTGTCGCTCGATAAGCACAACAATTTGAATAAAAAAAGTCAAAAACAAAGATTTATACCTTTGTTTTATGAGATATTTGTGCTCAGATCCTTGCCAATATTAGATGCATGCACATAAATATCTAAGTCTATAATAACATGAAACAAAGAAAAGAGATGCACAGGGAGAAATAAAATACAGAGTAACAACTTCAATCTGAACAATCGAGACGGTGAATTTCTGATCGCAGTTGTTGTCCTTGCTTAGAAGATCTACAACATAAGCCAAAATGCATCGTTTTAGATACTAATTACGCTCAATCGAGAGACAAAAAACAATAGAAAGATCGCAGAGACGAAGAGAGAGAGTGAAAATAATTGCTTAACTTTGGCTTTTTTGCCGATGGTGAAAACTCAAGGTCGTTTTCTCATCTTTACAGAAAGGAGACAAAGTGAGAAATTTTGGAAGAGGGAGTGACAAAATCAAACCATTTTGCATGTCGGAGATCCTCTGCGATTTTGATAGAGACATAGACGGCTAAAAATTAAGTTTGGGGGTCAGATATGTGGTTTTTGCGTAGTGGCAAAGACAGAGATGGAGCTGCGATGCGAGATTAGAAAGAAAAATCGGAAAGTCAATATTTAGGCCATTTTAATTGGATTGGTTTAGTGTTGGATTTTGTCCTAACCATTAAATAAAGTTAGTACATGATTTTTTGTTAACATTCAAAGTTTTCAAGCCTTTTTCATTAGCTTTTTTATAATTATAGGTAGCCATTTGTAAACAATATCCGGATGGCTTTTTGTAACTCTCTTCTTATGTTTCATTTTCTTGGTTCTCTCCGATTTCCTCTTGCAACCGATGCCTTGTTCCCCGTGGCATCGCTCGTTTAATGAATGATTACCACCGCTCGTTTAATGAATGATTACCATGTGTTCGAAAAGCAAATTCTTTGTCAATAAAAGCACACCACGTGACATGTTATTGATTGCATGAGGGTATCTCTCCTTTCGTTGATACAAGTTTCATTTTCGTTCAGACAGAATGCAAACACTGGCTTCACTCATTCATACATCGTACTAGATATTTTACGAAACAAAGAGGCAAATGTTGTACTAGATAATACACAATCCAGGTCAACAATCTAACCGACTGTAAAATATAATCTTAGATTTTAGAGTTCGACATTTTGGCCGGTCTCGTTTTGAAGACGAACCGAGTTCAATTACAGGGCAGCACAACTCAATTACAGTAATGCAGACTAGAGAAACTCCTAACTCACCACTCAAGCAGTCCTAAACAGTTTTGGCTCCATTCAGGCAGGCAATTAACCCTTTTGGATTACGCCGTTCTCCTTCAAGTACTCGACAAATTCGTCAATAAGATATGGCCAGGCACCTTCCGCATCATAGTTTGACAGTGATGAATCCACAGCCTACAAACACGGAATATCAAGTTAACCAAAGAAATAAAAAGGTAAGATAAAGGGTAGCCTTGTTCGGTTTTTGTTTTGGTTACATAGATGCTTGATATCTTACCCTCGCAAACTCCAATAGTTGAGACCATGTGTCCCTCGAAATTGCCTTGTTATGCCGAGCCTGAAATGATGGAATTAAGGAGAGAAAATATATCAAGATAATATTTCCTGGTAATTTTGTATTTCTCACAATCACTTTGGGACGTATAATGCCATTTCAATGCAAACATACTTTCTAAGATGTAACAGGTGTGACAATGATTTCGTAAAAGAATGATGTTAGGACTAAATTTTTTATAAGGGCCTTATACACCACTGGTGGAACAATGGCAGATTTCGGTTTAGCTTTATGGACCTAATGATAAACCACTAACACCTTCCTCGTTTGGGCTCCACCCAGGTATGTAAGAGCGGCTCAATCCAGGGCCCCGCCCCTGAGTCTTCACCTGTGTTCATCACAGCACCTTCGCCTTACATGCATACGGGAATCAAGGCTTGGAACCCCCAAGTAGGCTTTTTTTTTTTTACTTCTTTTATCTTATAGTTATCATACTAAAGGTAACAACATGAAGCCTCCATTTTGCACAGAAACTGTAAAAATTCATCAGAACTACTTGGCCATAAATTGTGGTGCACATTTGGAGATATGCATTCATATTAAACATTCATCACGCTCAAGGAGTTACAAAAATTGGCAATGATTCCTATTGGATAATATAAATGATTATTGCAAGCCCATTGAGTGTAGCTAATTTCAACAAATACTAAATTCCGTAACTTACCTGTAAGAACTGACACCAATGTTCAACATACGGCCACTGCTTTTCAGCAAACAGTAATTGCCACATTCCAATTGCAGTATCCAATGCCAAAGATTTCTGACCCTGAAATGAAAATGAAGCAATATACGTGTATATGAATATGAACACAAGCGCACATGCACGCCCACACACACATATAATTATTTATTCCAGAAAATTAAAATTAAAAAAATAATAATCTTATTGTTAAGTTATTGAACATGAAGACTATCTATAATCAGAAGAATGACATATGCATCACAGACTATTCCTGAAGCTGTGGTTGAATATGTTATGAATTGTGTTTTCATGCACATGTTTCAAGTCCAAATTCGCACCCATCAAGAATATATATCAAGGAATTCTTCCTAGTTTTATCTATCAAATTTGAGAGATAACCACTGTCTAGAATACAACAAATCAAAATCTTCATGCAGTAAAGTAAAAAGTAAAAGCACATACCTTTTCTTTTGCCCAGCCAAAAGCAAAATTATATATCTCTCGAAACTTTTCTGGAAAATCAAAAGATCATTTCAGCAATGAAAAGGTATTCTTGCAAAATTCAAATCACATCAATAATCTTTACAGAACAGTCAAGCTATTTCAACAAAAATACATGTTAAAATCACGAGTATCTTCCACAAATAACCAATCTTATTAAAATTGTTAGAATTTCCGTTGGATTTCACTAAACAATGTTAAAATCACCCTAAACCCTAATTACTTAACTAAAACTATAATCACATTTCACTTACGTTCATCTTTCAGCTCGGATCTCATAAATGGTATCTTTTCACGGAACTTGTCCAAAGAATCTATCCTGCCATCAGATAACACAAACTTCTGTTAATTGAATCTCTCATGGTTATAAACTATGTACGTATTATATTTGAGGTCTAGAAGAATGTAATAAACATCTAAACCCTTTGTGCCTACCCTAGTGATTCTAATCCATCTACGAACTCCTGCTTGGAAAATTCACACATGGTAGCTGCCTTCATGTGCCAGGAAACAACTAACTGCATCAACAGCCCATTGTACCAAAAATCACCAGCCAAGTCACAAGGATAAGTTGAAAAAAAAAGTATGCAAACTAAAAACAAAAGTTAACCGATCAAATTGGTACCATATATATGATTTTCATGAAGCTTACTTTTCATATGACAACCTCGTCATTACCTGCATAGCAATTCTCTTTTATACAGTTCAAAGTAAATATTACCAATGTCCCAAAATTTTAGCCCGCTAAACATTAGTCTCCAATCTTGTAAATGTAACATTTAATCCCCAAGAATTCTATGTTAGACTGCGTCCACAACTGTAATAGGCCCCAGTCAGAAAACCACTATATCTACCCTAATCTTATTAAAATTGTTAGAATTTCTGTTGGATTTCCAAGCAAAAGGGCTCTTTAGCTCAAATGGACAGAACTTCCTAGAATTGAATTTCTCGGTTGCCTAAATAGTAATTTGGCAGACTTGAAAGGAACTCCGTAGGCATGCACATCTTGACCAGAAAAAGGTTTATTTGAATATACGTACCATGACGATATCTTGAGGATCCACCTGTCAAATAATGAAGGCTAGCATGTCAGTCAAAATAAAAGAACAAGAAATTGCAATTAAACAATCATAAGAAACAAACAACAATATTAAAGACAAATGACTGAGACAGTTACTATCTGCACCAAACAGTTACCTGAAGATCATTGCAAAGGAGGCTGATACCATCAACAAGTATCATGTCAGCACGTGGATCTGGAAAAAAAAACTATTTTACTAGTGAAAAGAAAATTCTGCTAACCATATAAACTTTGGTTTAAAAATTAAAAAAGAAAAAAAGAAGAAAGAAACATTTGATGGGTCATTTGATTTTAGGTACAATGCTATCACTTATCACAAATGAGAAATTTATATCTGTACATGCAATATTATTGCTAATCATCAAGTTCATCAGTATGTACCAAATCAAGTATCGGAATATATATTTGAGTAAGACATAGCTGATGAAAAGCTTGAAGAAAAAAACAATCCCATTAATTTTTTAATATAAAACATTTATATAAAGTTCAGATTCAAAAATCTCGTGTTTGCAACTAAAGTATTAAGATTCCAGCCAAATTCATCTATTACAACTTGATAACACCACATGCGTGTGAATTTATAAACTGACTTAGATCTCTGTCTTTTCAATTTGCTATGAATGTGAAACAAAAGATAGACACTAATGTCTAAGATTGAGGACAAGAGTAAATGGAAAGGTAAAGCTTGCCTTTATATCTATTGTATAATTCCTCCAAATGCCTAGAATCAGTATGTGCTTGCAGCTGGGGCTGACTGTAGAATACATCAAACGCTCCTTCAAGATGCCAATCACTAGACTTCAGAGCCTGCAAAGCCACTTTTTCACTGCACATGATGGGAAGTTAGACTTCTCAGTCCAAGAATCACACTAAAACTGCTCAAGAGTAAGGAGAGAAAAAGGTACGATACACGCCACCAGTTTAATACAAAGCACATATGCGTGTGCAACCAATTAATCCAATTCAACTCAAAAGATACATACAAGCTGACGATTAAAACTGCTCAACTCAACCAAATCTAACACAACAGAAACACACATGTCTCTTAGAAAGGCAAAAATTATGTTGGAGTTAAATGTAAAATTTTAAAATCTTCGTGATTGACTATTGAACATACAACGTCAACTGGTTTTAAATGGTGCTCTAAATATCAATGCATAACATGCATAAGCTAGCAAAACTGCCATTGATCTAAAGACGCGAAATGAAGAAAAACAGAACTTGCTGGAGCTTTTCGGACTACCTCGCTCCGGTTATCATGATGAACTGCTGAAGCTTTTCACGTTGGCCTCTACCCGACTTGTGCTGTCAAAAAGAAAATCAAAGGTGAAGCAGAGAGAGAGATAACAAAACCAAACTATGCGCATGTTGATTCAGGTATATGTAAGTGTGTGCGCGCAAATACAAACGAACGCATATGATTAGCATAATATCAACATCCAATAAATAATCTCTGCAAAAATGTAACTGAAAAGTGGGTAATCTTATAAGAGGAAAATGAAACAGTGGGTAATGATCTCTATGTTGTTGTCACCAACCACAAAAGGTTACTTTTTTCGTCAAGAAAGTGCAAAACAAAACCAAATTTTCTTCAAATTCACATCCACCGAGGTTTTCCCCTGCCATAAATTTCATTTTGCATCAATTTTCTTCAAAATCTAAGAAACCAACAGCCTCTTGTTAACTAATCTCACAACCGAAAAAACCCGAAAACTCCTTAACTAGTGTACGTTATCAAATCCAAAGACACATCTTTTAATCCCTTTTCTCAGCTCTCCCAGCTTCTCAAAATATGAAATGTTACTAAAAATTGAAACTTTGGCATGACAGTCAAGTGAAAAAGTCGCTATAATTTGCAGAACAAATCATGAAAAAGTGAAACAGTAAAAAGTTAAGTTGAAGTAACCCTAGAGAAGCGAGAGACTGATCAGGAACCATAAGCATACATGAAACCGAACCAATGAGAATCGAAGAAATTTGACACAAAAATCGTGGAATTTGAAAATACAGCTGAAAAATAGAGAGTACTCACCATCTTTGAGGTGGACGATGATGAAATCGCAGACCTTGAACTGCTTTTAGAGAGAGAAAATTAGGGTTTTGCTCAGTTTCTGGGTAACAAGCACACAGAAATACATACGAAGAGTCTCTCTGTATCTATCTCTCAATGGGGTCTGGGTTCCCTGCATATTGTGTTTTTAATTGGTTTTTATTTCCCTTTTTTGTTTTTTGTTTTGTTTTTGCTTTTCGCTTTTTGTTTTCCATTTTTTCTTTCTTACCGTTTTTTTTCAAGGCGATGAACAACGGGCGTTAAATGCGTTTGGATGTACTGAGCGTTTCGTGTTTAATGTTTCGTAAATCAAATATAAATGTGTGATACGAGTACCTTTAATGTGCATTGACCGTTAAATATGAGTGGAGATGTATAATGAGGATTGCGTGTTTAACATTTGATAATCGATAATAAATGTGTGACACGATTACTTTTAAAGTGCGTCAACTGTTAAATTCGTGTGAGATACATTTTGAAAATGTATATGGAGTCCACTACGAAAGTCACATGTATTAACGTTTCATAAAATGTGGCATGACGATCTTTAGCATGTAATGACCGTTGTGAATCAAGCTGTGAAAGCTAAATGTACTACAAAATGGTCCATGGTCACTCTCCTTAGCTTCTGCCGGACGCTATGCCCTACCTGGCGACAACCCTTGGGCACTCAATGCAGGACTTTATTATTTTTGACAAAAAAAATAAAAAATAAAAAAATAAATATTGCCTATTTTGTAAGTAATGAATGTTCAAACTTGTGGTTTATTTTAGGTTTTAACTGCGAAGTGCTTAGCCCATGCAATGAATCCATCAGTTCTACAGTTGGGCTTGGTTCGGACTCAATTGGCCCAATATCAAAGTCCATTCAACAGCCCAATAAAGCTGGTCCAGAATTGTTTGGTGCCAGAGAGTGCAAAGATCCAATAGGCTCATTGTGGATCTTTGAAATTTGGTCGAAGTTCTATTTGTTCCTCTTCAACCCACTACGTTTCAAGTTCAAACTCTCTCCTCTTCTTTTTGTAGATTAGTGTGAAATATCGCTTGTAATAAAAAAATATCCATGATAAACTCCTGTAATTTACAAAGTGTTGCAACTCAAAAAACATGTCTTCATTTTCTTCATTTTTTCTTAGAGTAATGTTAGGGAGACCAAATTTATAAATCAAATTCGCAGACCAGTGATGTGTCACCAATAAGAAATAAGTACGTTAATCAACATTTAATCAATAATCCAATCATCTACAACCACATCATTTGGTTTGTAAATTTGATTTATAAATTTTGGTACCCCTAGTATTACTCTTTTTCCTTTTTCTCGATGGGAAGCGTGTGAGTGACATGTGTGATTTAAGAGTAACATTATAGAAGTGTAAAAGACCTCACACATGGTTTCAGAGTTCTAATTTTGTCTGAAAAACAAAAGTGACATGTGTTATTTAAGAGTAACATTATAGAAGTGTAAAAGACCTCACACATGGTTTTAGAGTTCTAATTTTGTCTGAAAAACAAAAGAAATAATTTGACTTGTGTGCCACTTCGGTCTCCAAAGCTCTAAAATATGCCACTATACATGTATCATGAAGTGTAGTATTTATCTCAGCAACAAACATAACTTTAAATTTTTCCAAGTTATGCATACACCTAATGGTGGTTCAGTGGTAAATGATAGATTGCAAGATTTCCTTCAAATTAAAAATGAGAGGTTTTGGGTTCGAAACCCATTGTTGGTGTGGAAGCTAGACTTGTGACCGGAAGAGGCTAAAATGCCTCCCGAAATAGGTGGATCCGTGGCCCCTATCAATTAAAAAAAAAGTCAAAAAAAAGTTACGTATACACCTATACGCATGGACTCCAGGTCTGCTATCCCTTAAATTGTGTCTCATTTGTATCTCCTTACTAATATTTTGACACATATCCTTTAACTTAACTTAAAACTTAAATTTACAAAAAATAATCCAAAATAATAAAAAAAAACGGTTGGGGTAACGAGGTGGGCAAACCCAAATAGGATTCTTTACCTTCTTTTAGGTGGTTGTTCAATGAACAACTTCTCTGTTCAAGCTTTCTGGTAGAACTCGATGATGGCGCGTGGCTTCTTGCTGGTAGGCGGAGGAATCACCAGACATGAATCGGTCCAAGCGTAGGTTAGTCTGCTAGTGGTGGAACTGGAAAGTGAGATTAATAAACAATTCCCAACTGAAAGGTGATCAAAGAACTCCATGCTATGAATCAGGTACACACACACACACTTACTTATTGAACCATTTATAATTTTCTTGCTGAAAAGGAACAAGAAAATTTCCAACGGCGTATCCCACAAATTTCCAAAGTCCTCCCAAATTCGTCTTCTCAAAGTTTCCGTTTGTTTCCCGAGAAAAGGAACAAGAAAATTTCCGATGGCGCCCAAAGCTGAGAAGAAGCCCACGGAGAAGTCCACCGTGGCAGAGAAACCCCCCACCGAGAAGAAGCCCATGGCCGGGAATAAGCTCCCAAGGAGGCCGGAGCCGCCGCCGGAGATAAGAAGAAGAGATCAAAGAAGAGCGTATATATACGTGGATTTTTTAAAAAAAAAATTTAATGTTAAATAAATAAAGTTAATGGAATTAAGTTAAAAGACATGTGTCAAAATATTAGTAAGAAGACACAAATGAAACACAATTTCGAGGAAAACAGACCTGAAGCCTTACGCATACCTCTCTCGTCACATAAAATGAATACAATAATGCAAATACATGTTGGTTGACAACGCCCGACACAAGATCTTCTCCCATGGCATTAGAAATTAGAAATATATTCTCATCAAAGGCACTTTTCACGCACACCGAATGCCCCAAGTAGGATACCATGGTTCCTTCCACACATATTTAATATAGACTAATTAAATTATAGTCGGTACATATTCTTTACGAAAAGTCACCTCTTAGAGACGAATTCACTTGAATAAACTAATCTCCAATCTCTGAAAACTGACATTGAAACTATTAAGAGTTTGTGTAGCATCTGACCAGCATTTTACATGCTTTATCTACCGATTTAAATAGCAGTTTAAAGTTTCTAAAATATTCTTTCTTCACTTGGATTAGTTTACAGTTTAGTAAAGTAAGCCGTATTTGTTTATTTGCCTGTGTTTTTCTTTATATATTGAGCTGCAATTCATTGTCTTCCTAGCAAACTCTTTCTGCTGAGAAAACATGGTGGCGGATCTTCGAACAGAATCTTCGGATTACCGGACCGAGCTCTTGTCGCCGGACGCGACGGGAGAGACTGTGACAGTGCCAACTGAGGCATCGTGGAGGCTCAACATGGATGGATTCAACCTTCCAGCTGAGAGAAGCATGGATTCTTACTTTGGCCTTGGCTCTTTTGTAAACTCATTAAGTAAGCTGTTAAGTCCTTTTCTCTTAAGTCCCCTTCGTATTATCAAACTCAAATTAGCATTGAAATTCTCTCTAATTCCATCACAGGGAGGCAGAGAAAAATTGCGCAATATTACAAGAGGCAGAATAAGCTTCTCAAAGGATTCAACGAGATAGACTCATTTTCTGAGATGGGTTTTTGGCCTGGAAGTTTAACACAGGTTTGTCGTTAATTTCGTCGTTTTAGGCCAGTTTGTCAATCAAATTTTCCCGTCACCTTGAATCCAAGTTCAAATTCCCATCCCTGTAGATTAAAGCGATTTCGAAGATCACTTTAGAAGATACGTTTCAAGCACAAGCTTTTTTCTTAATTGTTGCATTGAATTTTGGGACCTTTTGAATTTTTTGGTTTCAGGATGAGGTGAACCAACTTGCAAGAAATGAAAGGATGGCAATATATACATCTAATGCGGCTAACTTGGTGCTTTTCCTGGCAAAAGTTTATGCTTCAGTTGAGAGCAGATCTTTGGCAGTAATTGCTTCAACTTTGGATTCTCTCTTAGACCTCTTGTCCGGCTTCATTCTTTGGTTCACTTCTCATGCAATGAGAAAACCTAATCAGTATCGGTACCCGATTGGTAAAACCCGGATGCAACCTGTGGTAAGTATAGTCCTTCTACTATACATCAATGCATATCATAAAGTGCCTTTGAAGTGGATCCCATTCATCCGTTGAATTCCTTGTGCTTGTAATCTTGAGCGAGTTGTAGCCGTTAAATTCTGCCATGTATTTCATATACTGATGTACCTTTCGGTGGTTAGCAATTGAGAGAACATTGGAAATTCAATCTCATGGCACTGAATCAACAATAAATCAATGATTTTGTAGGATTATGTTCATGAGAATATGAATCCTAATTTTTCGGACAATTAGTTCTAACTTTACTTCATGCACTAAATCTCAAATGCATTGCAGGGAATTGTTGTTTTTGCATCTGTAATGGCAACTCTTGGACTACAAATATTGTTCGAATCTGGGCGGCAACTTCTCACAAAGGTATTCAAGAGTCCACTAGTTGATTGTAACGCAAGAAATCTTAAGCGCAAGATATCGAATGAAATTTTTAGCATCACATTTGTCGATAGGGCGATTATAATAATTTTTTTTTTCATGCAGACTCAACCTGATATGGATCCAGTGAAAGAAAAATGGATGATTGGGATAATGGTGTCTGCAACAGTTGTGAAGTTTGTGTTGATGGTGTATTGTCGTAGATTCAAGAACGAAATTGTTCGAGCTTACGCTCAAGATCATCTGTTTGATGTCATCACTAACGGAATTGGTCTTGCAGCTGCAGTTTTAGCAATCAGGTTTTACTGGTGGCTTGATCCTGTTGGAGCTATCATTGTAAGTAATCAGCCTATTAACTAATTAACACCTAATTTTGTTAATTAGGCCACGTATCTGCAATACCTTGTTTGTTATCCTTGAAAATCCGAACAAAACACAAAGATGAAAAACTACTTAACCCTGAACTATTTTAAGGCAACAAATGTAACTGAATTTCGAAACGCAATGGGATGCAGATTGCTTTGTACACAATGGGGAACTGGGCGAAAACAGTGATGGATAATGTGTGGTCACTGATAGGGAAGACAGCACCAGCAGAGTACTTGGCAAAATTGACATATCTGATATGGAACCATGACAAGGAGATCACGCACATTGAGACAGTGAGAGCATACACTTTTGGCTGCAACTATTTTGTGGAGGTTCACATTGTCTTGTCCGGAGACATGTCTCTCAGCCACGCACATAACATCGGAGAGACGCTTCAGGAAAAGATCGAAAACCTTCCTGAGGTGGAACGAGCTTTCGTTCATGTCGACTTTGACACTACTCACAGGCCTGAGCACAACAATGCTAAGTTAGCACCATCTTGATCAATAAAATCAGACATGAAGAGTGGAATAGAAGTATGTGTTTTTTATTTGGTGCTATAATTATTGTACAAGGGTTGTTTAAGGTTTTAAACAATATTTATTTTTAGTTTTGTTAAAGAATCAATTCCAATGGTTGAAGCTTACTGAAATATTTATGATTTGATTGATTGTAAACAACAATTTGTTCCAACACTTTATTATTTATGAGATTTGAATTTAATATATCCCGAGTAAAATGGAAACCGAGTATTTAAGAGAGAGAGAGAGGAGAGAGAAAGTTTTGTATTTTTTACAAAAAAAAGACTCATAAGTTCAAACTTGTTTATTTTAGATTTTTATTGTTCAATTCAATTAACTGCGGCCACTTATGATTATGGTCTAGTGATATTCCTCTTCACTTGTATAAGAGATGTTTTAGGTTTGATTATTGACAAAAGTGAATTTGAACCATTTTATTTCTAGTCCATTGTGAAACTAGCTCACCCCGTAAATAATATCATATGTTCAAAAAAAATAAAAAAACTGTGAAGTGTTTAACTCATGCATCATCAATCCATCAGTTTCACAATTGGGCTTCGTTTAGACTCCAATGGCCCAATCTCAAAGTCCATTCAACCAAGCCCAATAAAACTGCTCCAGAATCGTTTGGTGCCAAAAGTGTAAAGATCCAATAGGCCCATTGATGATCTTTGAAACGTGGTCGAAGTTCTACTTAGTTTTTGTTCAAGCCACTGCGTAGTGTTGCAACTCAAAAACATGTCTTAATTTTCTTAATTTTTTTCTTAATGGGATTAGTACATGAGTGGCATATGTGATTCAAGAGGAACATTATATAAGTGTACAACACCTCACTCATGGTCTTAGAGTTCTAATTTTGTCGGAAAACAAAAGAAATAATTGGACTTAAATTGCAAGAATTGATAAATTACATAAACTAATTCGCAAAAATGAAAACTATGTATGTTTGGCCGTCCAATAGCACTCCAAAATTTTGACTCGTGTGTCACTTCGGTTTCCAACCCATAAAATATGTCACTGTACTTATACCCTAAGGAGTAGCCAGGGAAGGCTCACGTACTGTGTTTAATTCTTGATACTGGTGAATCACACGATAGTGGCTAGAGGGAGGTTGAAATGTATTTGTGAGTCTTCCCGGTCTCTGGAAGGGTGGACTGTCGTGGCGAAACCATCAACTGGTCCACTTTTTGAAAGAAAAAGACAGAGTAATATTTTAGGGAGTTTTAACGAAAAGTCCGCGTACTGTTCACTTTAACGAAAAACCACATTTTTACACTAAAAAGTCAAACCTGATACTATTCACTTTACCCTTTATTTTGTCCTTATCGTTAAAACTCAAAGTTTTCAAGCCATTTTCATTAGTTTTCCTAATATTTTAGGGGCTTTTAGATCTAAGTCCAAAAAGTATAGGTTGTTTTTACGACTGAGTTCAATTATCTAATCACATATTTTTGTATCAATTACTCAATTTTGTCTTTTTAGATAAAAAATGTAAATTCATTAACTTTTGTGATAAAGGTATATTATAAAAAGAAAAAAAAATGTAATACAATTAATCTATGTTATTGGTAGACTATGAAAAAAGCCTATGGCATAGGTAGATAGACAATTTTTTTTTTTTTTTGGTTAAATAAACGATATTATCTTAGTAATAATAAGAGGGAGGGAGGTAGATAGAAAATTAAACGTATATTCTACCTATAAATGAGATATGAAACCTAATTACATCATACAAAAATATAATACCTACAAATAAGATACGTTAAACAGTACCTATGATAGAGGTTGATTATAAAAATAAAAAAATAAAAATTATAAATAGGGTTTGGAACACAAGAAAAAAAAATAAAAATAACAAATAAATAAATAAAGAGATAATTAAAAAGAAATTAATTTGTATAATAAAGTCTTATCAATAAATAATACTTATTGATAATAAAATAATCGTAAATTTAAGAAATTGTACTTATTTTAAGAAACTGGACCATTCCTAACATTGATTAAAAAAATTAAACTTATATCAAGTTTCCTCAATATTTTATCTTGCAACAAATACAATTTTAAATGTTATCAAGTGTGCACGATGTAAAATGAAATGCAATGATGCAAATACACTTTTGTTTACAAATGCTCCACAAGATCTTCTCGCGTGGTGATAGAAATTAGAAATATATTCTTGGTCATATCAAAGGCACTCTTCACGTACACCAAATTCTTCCAATATGATAGTATGGTTCCTTCCACACACACATTTAATATAGACTAATTAAGTTATAGTTGGTACATATTCCTTGCACCAAAAGTCACCTCTTGCTTCACTGGGCCAAATATACTCTTAAAAAAATAATCCTCCAATCCCTGAAATCTTCCATTAAACTATCAATTTCAAGAGTTTGTGGAGCAGCTGACCGACATTTTCCATTCTTTATCTAGTGATTTAAATAACAATTTCAAGTTTTAAGATTCTTTCTTCAGTTGGATTAATGGAGTTGTCATTCGTTGCCTTCCCAGCAAACTCTTTCTGCTGAGAAAAATGGCTGCGGATCTTCGAACCGATTCTTTGGATTACCGGACTGAGCTCTTGTCGCCGGACGCGACGGGAGAGACTGTGACAGTGCCAACTGAGGCATCATGGAGGCTCAATGTCACGCCTTAAAAACAGGCACGTAACAGTGCCACGCTTTATTAGTAACGCAATACTATAGTGTTAAAATCCAACACTATAGCACTACATTCCTAATAGAACGTAAGGTTATTTGAGGGGAGTAAAATAATTTATTTTTAAGCAGTACGGAAGCGGAAATCATTTTGGTAAAACGAAGAATAAAAGGGCAACGGAATTTGGATAAAATTTTTATATAGGAAAAAAACTTCACAATCTACAACAAAACCAAAGAGTTAAAGGCAATTATCATACTAAACCAACTCTTTAGTACGATTTTGAAAAATACAAAACGTTGAGTTTGGCTACAAAAGATCCCCTCAAGACGGTAAGGAAATCAAGTATATGTACAAATAAAAATATGTAGAAAGAGTCAATGAACGACCGAGAAGTTGACAAGTAACAAACAACGCTTGTCCCGACTTTAGTCCAGATCGTCTATTTGTAGATGCACTGGTCCTGTAATAAAGTAGGGGTGAGCATCACAAACGTTCATTGCTCCCCCTTAGGGAATCCACCCCAACTAGGTTTGAAAATAGTATACAACACTATATATATTATAGGAAAATGATGCACAACAAAAGCTTTGTTTAATTTTGAAAATAGATTGTATGCTCACACAATTTCCTTTTAAAAAGAAAATAGGATCCCAATAAGTCACTACATGCTTGATGACCGGTCTAATGACCAACTACCCCCTTACCTGGACGAACTCCGAACGAATATACTTATGGTAAGGTGTAGCGAGAGTGTCCTTTAATGCTCTACCGTTAGATATCCTAGTACATCTCCTAGAAAGGTAACTGTACTAATCCTTTCGTAGTAGCCCCTCCAGAAGTTTAGGGGATCAAAATCCAAGGCGGTCGCTATGCCCCATTCACTCTCAAGTCATCACTTTAATTTGTAGCATAAAACAACATGCATATCATAATATAAAACAAAACTATTTGTCCTCATGGTTCTATCACAACAAAATCTATACAGCTTTCACAAGCATTCGTATATTTACATATACATACATTCACAAAATTCCATAACTAGAGTAAGTGAGGATCCCCCTACATGGTCTCCAAGCCAAGCAAGCAATATTCCTCACCAATACCTCGATTCCAAAGTTAAAACGAAGATCCACGTCACTACTGCAATAGCTAAACTCCACGTACTTGAGTAAGTTGCTTGATCACTCCTAAATCATCATGTATTTCTTCCACCCTTATCTTTTCTAATCTCTCTCTCTACATATATAATGTATAAGAACTAAACCTATATGTATATAGCATAAGTTTAGAACATGTTCGCATGCACTATTGCATGTCAAACTCTCATAATTTCTCTTTGCAAAGGCTTAACATGCATGCTATCTCCATCTCTTTCCTACGAGAGCTCACATGCTGCATGCTGCCTCATTTCCAAAAACAATTGAGCGAAGCTCCTATGTATAGAGAAATGGGGCAGTACCACTAGTATCCAATTGGTTAGTTTTGGTGGAGATTGATAAGCTTAGTCATATTTGATGACTACCTATTTGCATGCATAAGAGGTGTCGATATAAGGTAACAAAGGGCTTTAAGACATTACACCTTTTGCTTTAGTAAAGCCAGCTCATGCTAAGCTATAAATCTTAGTCATGCATTAGCACCAGCCATTCTTTGCTGCCATGTGTCAAAGTCAGCCATTCTTTGGTTGCCACATGATGTTCTCCCTTCATATTTAAAGTTCCATTATAAGTCCGTTCGAGCTCTGAAAATTAATCTAAAAGATGCCACGAGCTCGTAATCTCGTCCACTTTCATCTTTTTACCTCAAAATAATCTTTGAACTCAAGTAAAATTATCACCCATTTAAAAGGAACTAGAAATTGTAAAATATGTAGGTACTCCAAAGTTCATAAAAACACTTATAAAATTCCAGGGTCTCACACTCAACATGGATGAATTCAAGCTTCTAGCTGAGAGAAGCATGGATTCTTGTTTTGGCCTTGGAACTTTTATGAAGTCATTAAGTAAGCTCTTATTATGTCCTTCTCTTAATACTTTCATATTATTAAACTCAAATTAGCATTAAAATTCTCTCTAATTCCATCACAGAGAGGCAGAGAAAAATTGCACAATATATATTACAAGAGGCAGAATAAACTTCTCAAGGGATTCAATGAGATAGATTCATTTTCTGAGATGGGTTTTTGGCCTGGAAGTTTAACTCAGGCTTGTCGTTGATTTTGATGCACTATAAGCCTAGCTTAGGCTTAAGGCCTATCCTCACTCTTTCACCTTTTAATAAATATTTAGTATTATATATATATATAATTTTTTTTTAATTTTTTATAAACTTATTATTGTATTTCTTTTAGTTACACAAAACTCTTAAATTTTATTCATCAATAATTAAAAAGAGGTTTTTTTTTTCTTTTCAATCCCAACAACACTCATCCTAAAACTAAATTTAACTCTTATTTATAAACAAATCAATAACTTTTAAAATGAAAATTTAAAGTATAGTTTAGTTTTATAAAAAAATATTCTTTTATACTGCCGACTGAAAGA